CTCGTCGCGACTTCTGGCGTGGAGGACAGGAAGGCGGGTGGGGAGGCGGTTACTCCTTGGAGGGAGAGTCCCCCTCCCTACAGGAAGCCAGGACCACGTGTCACGGCAGGGAAAATGGCCGCGGATCCTGTTCGTCACCTGATCCGGCGTTCGCGAACGGAAGCAAAATTTTGCGAACGAGGCTGTTCGTGACCCAAATTGGTCGTGAACAGAAGCGTTCGTGACCCAAGGTACCACTGTATAAGACATTTATTTCTGGGACACTGTGCCTGAAAATGAGAAATGCAAATCATAACAGGATGAAAAATGACAACAGAATCAAGACAAAGAAGTCTAAGAGCAAAAACAACAGTATATCAAAACAATGACACAGGAAGAACTTTGAGATAGAGGAGGACATTAACGATCCTAAATAACCAACGACAGCATCTTGCTATGTCAAGTGAGTTGCGTTTCTATATGTCTAATAAAAATGCAGTGCTTGACTGAGAGAGTGAAGAATCAGTATCTTTTGGGGAGAATGACCTGAAACCCTTTGTTTTAGAATCAAGACATGGAGATAGTGGTTAAAAATTGTTAACTGCACATGCAATGCTCTCTATTTCAGGCGAGTTATTGACAGCTAATAAGATCGATGAGCTAAAACACATGTTTGAGCAGTATGAAACCACAGGAAGGAATCCTCAAGAAGAAAGCTTTGGATTGTTTCCCTCTGGGCTAAGAATATAAGCCAGTAAGGCAGCAGCAATTATACTGCTGATTACTGATAATGACACAAACTGGAGCAGATGACTTAAAGTATCACGATTCACTTGCTCTTAAAACTGGCTGTTGAAAATTGGCTTCTGAGTGAAAAACAGGGTGTTTTCTCAAATAAACTTCAAATACAATGTTTTAAAAGAAATTGTAGGAACATATAAAGGGTTGAATTTTTTTTACCAGAAATAAATTATTTTCCCTCAAATACTGTTTTTAGTCCATCTATCCAAATCTGTTGCTAATAACAATACCTTTAAATTCAGTTTGATAATTTATACTAAGTATCTCTGATACCACTGAAAGCACCCAGAAGCAGCCGATACAATCCAGTTGCTCCTAAAGGCATCCAAGCAAATTAATATTACATCTAGAAAGGGCTATAATCTGGTAATTTACCATCTTCTTTTAATGAAGTTTATTATTCAGGTTCAGATCTTATGGCTTGTGTATATTTCATTAACAAATGAAAACATTAAAATGTTTTGCATTCTTGCTTATTACTTCCAGAAAATATCAGCAAGGTTGAGGCATCACACTCAAGCTTGTGATGTAGATAAGGGGCTTATAATCTGAAATTAGTACATTTTGTTTTTTCAGGCCTTTTGGCTGTAAAATAAACATTACGTTTTGTTATTTAAATGGTAGTAAAGGAGAACAAGCTATACAGTAATTATTTATTTGGATGGAGACAGATTTGAAAAAAAATACAGAAAAACTGCTCACTGTATTTTAAGGGTAAGAATTGTGTGTCCTCATCAATTCTTGCCCATTATGTGGGACGGGTGGGAATACAGACAGACATTCATTCAACTGTTCTCTCATTCATGTTATTTTCAGCAACGAACCTATAAAAGTCTTTGTTCACCAGAGATATCAGAAACAAATCAGAAAGTGGTTTCCATCTTCACTTTTATTTTTCAGCTCTGATCTCCTTCACTCACCTGCTTCTTTTCCTGTTACAGTTTTCCAAAGCACGAATGGAAGCTGAAGAATACCGAGCTACACAGAGGAAATGAGCTAGAAATAAACAGTGGCTTGTACTGATGATATCATTTGGGATATGGCATACCCTAAACATTTCCTTATGTGAGGTTGAAAAAGGGGATCCTGTATTTTAGCTA